GGGGGGGGCAACCAGAGTCACAGAGCTGTTCTGTCAGGGTTGTATGGTTTGCACGCTTTCCACTGGCCTGGGACATGAGTTCTTATGAGCATCACCGCAGGCTTGCAGGTAGAAGGTAGTTTGTGCTCAGACATCTTGAGATGTTGCTGATGCTCATGATGATGATGATGATGATGATGATGATGATTTGATTTTGTAAGAGTCTGGAACTCTTTGCTTGGATCATAATTTCTAAGGGTCCTGAAACCCGTAGTTCCTGTTCATCATGCTTTTGTTCCCCTGCCAGTCAATTCTTTTAGTGTGGCTGACAGTGTGTAAGGCAGATCGTGTGTAGAGAGACCAGAGTTTTTGGTGAAGAACCTCATGGAACGTTCTGAGCTATATGCTGCTGTGAGACATTTTTTTTTTTTACTTAATTAGGTTATTGTGGCTCATTTAGACTTGGAATAATGTTGGATGTTGGTACATCGGTGTAGAGCCTTCAGTTCCCTAAGTCTTCTTGGATATTAGAGTACTGTTTTGGATCCGAAACGTCACTGATTATTTTGTATGCTTTCCCCCCAGGAAGACCCGGCCATGATTGAGGACAAGGGTCCCCGAGTGACGGACTATTTTGTGGTTGCCGGGCTCACTGATAAGCCCATACCGCTTGACCAGGACGTGTCAGACACCAAGTCCAGCGGCCCCAAGGCGCCCATCACGGACCTAGCTGTCATTAGCCGGTCGACTGGTGAGACGGTGCCAGAGGGGTTCACGTGTATCGAGGTGACCCCTGGTGGCCAGTCGGCCAACCTCAACCATGGCAGTCTCAAGAGCCCAGAACTTTTCCTGTGCTACCGGAGGGGCCACGACAAGCCGCCGCTCATCGACATTGGGTAAGATGTCGCACTGTTTCGCAAATCCCAGCGGATTTTAACCCTTATGGTCCTTACCTCTCTTATAGCTGTGCCTTGACCTCACCCTGTCTGGAAGATGACTTTTTCTGTGATGATAAAATGACTCATTCTGTCCTTTTGGCAAGCAAGGTTCTTTTATTAAACAGTGTTAAGAATTGCGTAAATAGAGTTCCCGTCTCCGTTTAATCATTGGTAGACCTTAAGTATACAGGCTCGTATGTCTGAAAGTTCGTAAGTTGAAAGTTCGTAAGTAGAGGAGCGTCTGTATAGTGTGGTCATACATAGGGAAAGCCATGGAAGATAACAAGCCTAGGTCCAATCCTCGGATATCTGAAGGAGGCCCAGATTTTCAGCATCAACTGCCAGTTTAATTATCTTCCTCATTTTTAAATCTGTTTCCCTTTTTTGACCCCAGAACCACTAAAACCACTTTATATTCCAAGTTGTCTCTTGCTCAGTAAGAAATTAATCGAACCAAGATATTTTGAATTGCTTAAAATGTTCCATTGAATAATATGTCCTTGTGTGTATTTTGACTGTTGTGATACATTATGTGTATGCAGTTTGACATGTATGTACATTTTTGGGGGGCGGGACTAAAAAGATTTATGATACCAAGAAGTCAATGTGCTGTAATTTTTATTTTATTTTAAGGTGTTTCAAAGCCTCACTTGCCATGGGTACTTGGAGATTACGAGAAAGTATTAAAGAGCATCTCCTGTGTTAAGTCGACTGCAAAATGCACACTTAACATTGTGTGTAGTTCACTCACGTAGTCATTAGTCATGCTGAATTGCTAATGAAAGAAAATTTCCCAGAATGCCTAGAGTATGTGCCAGTGCTTGGCAGTTGACCTGGGACTGTTTATAGCCCAGAAAAAAACAATGGTGTTTCTAAGCCAATTCAGCACCACCCGTTTCACTCACTGATCTGCAAGACTGCTTCCGATCCTCGCACATTCATCAGCTCCATGCAGAAGGCACATAGCTGTGTTTTGTTGATGTCTGTTTTGGGCCTGCTGTGCTTCCGCTTGGAGGCTGAAACCTTTCGCTGTGGCTACCCCAACAGGCAGTACTCCATATTGCATTTATACGCCACAGTCTCCTCAGCTAGCCTCCAAATCACCTTCTGAGCTCCTCCTATCCTAGGCCTGAGATTTCAGTCCCAGAATGAAAAGTATTCAGCCTCCCCCACTGCTGCTCTTGGGCTGGAAATCCAGTTTATCCTGGCGGGGGCTCACAGTCTCTACCCCTTGGAGGAATTCTATCTGATTTGGCTCATCTGCCCCAATGCCCCTGCTAGGTCAACAAAGACATGGGATCCTTGACCCTGGAGAGTTCTTCCAGCCTGTGGCTGAAACATCTCCTTTGTTGAGGGTCTACAAGGGTGGTCTGCACAAGCCTTTGTGATGCTCTGGCCTGTGGTGGCCTTCAGCTTTCTGATGTGGCTTTAATGGCAGCTGGAATTGCCTGAATTACGAATGAATGCATTGTTTCCCCATTATTGAGCTCCATATTTTCCCTTCCTTGCCCTGTAGTCTCTGTGCTTCTTGCATACTTGGCGAGCATTAGTGGTCTGTTGCAGCAGCCTGACCTGTATTCAGCTGGTGGAAAGGTTTTACAGTGCAGGGAAAAGCGGAAGGCGTTGAGTGAATCATTACATGTCAGAGTCAGCTTTGACTCACCATTGCCGCTCCAAAGTCAATGCCAGAATAAACTTGGCACCTTTTTCCATGGTTTTGAAAAAGGTAAACATTGTTGTTTTTTTATGCAAGGTTACTAACTGCGTTTTTCTGGTTTTCTGCTTTGTGGGGAGGTCCTTGCACCAGTTTTGAGAACTGGTGGGTGTAGTGGGACCAGTTATGACTTGGGAATGACTGGGAGTGTATTGAAGGTACATTTTGCACACGCCGCAAGAGCACATGGAGAATTGTGCTGACCACCTGCTGCCTGATATGATCGTATGTTATTGAAACTCCAGCCAAAAGCTATGAGCTGTGAAAACACTCTTGTCAGCCGAACAATATTTAATATTGATTTACAACGCTGTTACAGAGACTGTTTAAAAAGACAGAATTTCTTCTTGTGGCCTAACCTAAAATATCAACGCTTTCTTTGTCAGAGAACACCCATATACTTAAAACGTGTCTGTAGCAAACCCGTGTGTAAGCAGCACATGTTCCTATGCCCTAGGGTGCTCTATGATGGCAAGGAGCGGCTCATCCAGGGCTGTGAGGTCATACGGGCCACGCCTTATGGCCGTTGCGCGAATGTCAACAACAGCTCGGCCACCTCGCAGCGCATCTTCATCACCTTCCGCCGTGCCGCGCCCGATCGCCCGCAGAACTCTCTCACAGTCACTGAAGTGTGCATCATCATGGCCAGCAAAGGCGAGACTCCACCCCACACTTTCTGCAAGGTGGACAGGAACCTCAACTGTGGCATGGTAAGAAGACCGCTTAGCTCTGCCTTCTTTTAGTTACCGATGCTCAATGGTTTCCCATTGTTTACGTCATAAGCCTCCTCTGTATGGATTGGCTAGCAAGTGATCACATGACTGTCTTGCACTTTTACTTTCAACTGGTCATGTAATGTAGGTTGCAGATCAGTGTTATTATAGGTGATGCTGATTTTCATTCGCTTACTACCTGCTTTTAAACCATTTCCTCATGGCCGTAGCCAGTTGCATGACATGAGAAATGTAACTGATTTAAGTTAAGCATCATGAATATCAATTTTTCCTTCTTTGAACAGACCGCTGAACCTATTTTACATAAGTCTGGCTTCTTAAACACAATGGCACCTTGTGTTTGTACAGTATTACTATTGACCAATGTGGTTCTTTTTTCCAGTGGGGCTCTAATGTTTTCCTTTGCTACAAGAAGTCTGTCTCCACTTCCAACTCCATTGCATACAAAGCTGGTGAGTATTAAATTACTGGAGGGAAAAAACCTGAAGATATAAAAAGATGGAATTTCTCCTGCTCTGAGTATTACGTGGACCGCTCTGTGGTCAGCCTGGTCAGGTTTTTTTTTATGGAGATTTGGCTGAATCTCACTCCCAGCTTGTGGTTTGATGCTCTGCTGCGTTCCTCTGTCAGGCCTGATCTTCAGGTATCCTAAGGAGGACTACCAGTCCTTCCCTCTCTCTGAATCTGTGCCTCTGTTCTGCCTGCCCATGGGGGCGCGCATTGAATGCTGGGCACCCAACACTCGCTACCCGAAGCCCGTTTTCTCCACCTTCGTCTTGACCGTCTCCTCTGGCGAGAAGGTAACCTCCAGAGTTGAGCATCTGTTGGTTCTGCTGTATTCAGAAGATGAAGAACTACAGTGGAATTTTTGGGAATGCTTTGCATTAGCTGCACCTTCATGATGTATTTATTATGCATTCATAGAACATTCAGTGCACCTTCATAATGCATTCATAGAACATTCATGCAGGTATGCAAGTACACCTTAACATCCTAACATCCCTTAACAGCTTTAATATACATTAATAACAAACTGTATATGATTAAGCAATTATACTATACGTTATTAATGTATATTACAGCTGTCATTTCTTGTTCATTGAAAGTCTTGTGATTGTGATGCTTTAAGACCTGTTAAGGTATACTTACATGCTGGTTATGAATATTCTATGAATGCATAATGAATGCATAATGAAGGTGCAGTTAATGTAAAGCCTTACCAAATTTTAAATGATCTCTGTGGCTTATAGTTAATGTAGAGTTATGGTTAAAACACAGCACTTTGCACAGAACACTAGTTTGTCCCTCAACCTCTAATTACAGGCTCATTTTCTAGTCGTGGATTCAGAGTAAGTTTGAGGAACATCCCACATTGGTTTTGAATGACATTTCTCCTGCTGATGATGTTTTTGTGTGTTTCTGTATGTGTTTATGCATGTCCTTCATGAAGGTTTATGGTGCAGCCGTCCAGTTCTACGAGCCGTACTCCATCGAGCTGCTGGGTGACAAGCAGAAGGTGCAGCTGGGCCTGCTCACAGCCATCGACAAGCGGCTCATGCCCAACCGCACCGTCAACACCAACAAGTGCATCTGCCTGCTCTCCCACTGGCCTTTCTTCGAGGCCTTCCGCGGGTTCCTCATGTTCCTCTATAACACCGTGTCGGGGCCACACCCTCTGCCTATCGAAAAGTAAGCCAGCCGGGCAGCCAACTTGGTAGGGCAAACCGGGAGGGTGGAGATGGTGGGGGGGGGCTCCTGGGCAGCTTCATATTAAAACTCAGATTCATGCAGCAGTGTGAGATAATTTCAGGTCGCTGGCAGGTAGAGCTGCTGTTAGTCTTTCCTGTGGTTCTATCTGTTAGTCGCAGAGGTAGAGACTTCAGGTCCAGAGAATATAAATCCAGACCAAGATTTTGTTTCAACCAATCAGTTGAGTATAAAGAGTCACAATCACAAAGTACTCAACTGGTTGGTTGAAAGAAAATCTTGGTCTGGATTTATATTCTCTGGACCTGAAGTGTCTACCTCTGGTTAGTTGCTACAGAATATGACAGTGTCCCTTTTTGCAGCTGTGTGCAGTGCACAGCTTGAAAAACAAACATAAACAGCTAAGCGTTTTTTTTTTTTATATAGGAACATAAAAAATTTAAATAAACCTTCAATCCACTCTCCTGTGTTGACGCTTCCGTTATATATTTTTCCCCTCATGGTTTCAATATTTGGCATATGGAATTAAAAGGGAATCTTTTGGGAATTTTGTGAAAGCCACAGATGATGCACAAAAAGTTTCGTAACTCATAAATGCATAAATATATGTACAATGATGCTTTGGAGGAACCCAGGTGTTTACAGCAGCCTTTCACTTGAAATCTCGCAGTGATCTTGCATTGGTCTTTGTAGCTCACGTTTATCTTTTTGCTTTGCTTTGCTCGCCAAGGGGACCAAAAAATGTATTTAAAACGGCAAGGTGTTAAACAGGCCCAGCTGGATTCGTCTGAGGTATCTATGGGAATCGAAGCTCTCTTGAGGATGAGTTGGCTTTTTGTCAACGCTGTCCCTTCTGTGTCACAGACACATCTCCCACTTCATGCACAGCGTGTCCTTCCCGTCTCCACAGAGGCCTCGGATCCTGGTGCAGGTGAGTCCCCCGTGTCCCAGCGAGGTAGGACCTTTGTCGGCATTTGCTGGACCTGTGGCAAGCCGTAAATCCTGCGTGATTTTACGAACTGTAGTCCCCGGGAATTGTGTTGAACCGTGCTGCCCAGATTGGTTCTTTTTACACTTCTAGTGGTGGAAAAAGAATATGGTGAGCCCAGGGGATGCCTTAATACAGCTGCTGTGATTGCTGTTCCAGGCGTAGATAGTGTTTGGCTGAGGCTCAATGAGGAATGGGCTGTTTCATGCCACCGCAAAGCTTGCGATGATGTATGCGTCTGTCAGCCGTAAGACGAACATGAAAGCGATGTGCTGTTCTGTCTGCTTTGCCTTCAGGCTAAAGAGGGTGTGGCTGACTGAGGCATTGCAGTGGGCTGGCTGGCCGGAATAGGATTACCAAAGAACTGCTTATGTCTTGTTAGGAATGTAGCTACCACTAAATTGTTAAGGGTGCCTCCTTTTGTTGTCTAATACAAAAACATGTTTTCGTAATTTCTGGGAATCTCTGCTTAAAAAAAATAGTAGATCGAAATATGTAGATATCCGGGTCAGAACAGAGATGCGAAGAGTAAATAAGGGTAATTTTTTAGTTTTTTACTGTGGTGCCTTAATTCTTGTAGATGTTCTTGTCGATGATGATGATGACGATGATGATAGCAATTTGTATATCATTTAAAATATCTCTAATTTTTCAGCGCTCTTTTCACAAATTTTGCCATTTTCCCCCAGAAAAGGGGTGGGTTTGCTTGGTGTTTCTGGAGTCTCATTTTCAAAAAATATATAAATATTTAGGAAGTAGTGTCAGCAGATCGTAGTTAGCTAGCTGGTTAGGGGAATATGATTCTAAATAAGCAATTTATGTGATATTTAGTGTAGCTACTGCTTGTGGCCAACAGGGGGCCTCGTACCTCAGGGACCACTGTCAATAGTGGTTAACACTGCGGCTACACCTGAATAGGGATGTTTGTCTGGTCAAATTTGTCCTGTCGCATACTAAAGGCTTATGATTGCTTTTTAATGGATTTTATTAATGCTTGTTGGGGTGACATCCAGCTGCTGTTTCGTGTTTCAGCTCTCGGCCCTTGACACCCTTATCCTGTCCCAGCCAGTCTGCACGCCGCTTCCGCTGAGGTAGATATGACTCCGTTCGCCATCTGCGCCTTCGCTGACAGGCCAGCCATCGCTCGCCGCCGTATATGTCTGCTAGCGTTATCTACACAGCACACACACCCCCCCCACCACACCGATAATCGCATCATAGTGAAGTCGCTCTTATCCTTGTGGGTCAGACAGCCTTGGTATTGTCTTTCATTTGCCCTACTCTTTCTCTCTTGTTTAGCTTCCGTGTTATTTTTTTTTGCTGAGATTCTAGGATGGCAGAATATCGCATAATTAAAGTTAAACAAATTGCTGTCTGTTGTTTATCAATATCCAACCTAAGGAAATTTATTTTAGGTCAAAGCTGCTCAAAGTGTTTCCTTATTACTGTTGTTGTTGGTTGTTTGTTTGTTTGTTTGTTTGTTTGTTTGTTTGTTTGTTTGTTGTTCGGGATGTTTCCCATCGCGCCCTTCCTGCCTCCCCCCAGACTCTTGTCTTCAGATGCACGCTCTCTCTCCGTTTCCGTGCAGGACGGCACCTCGCCCCCAGCACCGCGTCATCTCAGGGCCTGATGCCTTGTGCAGATGACGAATGCATGGAAAGGCTGCTTCCTGCCCCCCCCCCCCTCCCATGTCCCTCTGCTCCTGATAGTCCTTTCTGGTTTCCTGAGTTCTTCCACTTAGCCCCGCCCCAACACTGTCTCCACCCACCCCGAGACTCCTTCCCTTACTGCGTGTTATATGGGATTTGCCCTGATGGGGGGGGGGAGCAAAAGCAAATAAACACAGTCCCCCTGCCCAAACACACCCCACAAACGTGCGGCTGACTTACTGTCCCCCCAGCACTCTGTCTTGCCTGGGTCATAGCCTGCACCCATCTGACCACCCCCTCCTCACCCCTCCCACAGTGGGGCGGATTTCAGTGGCCTGCTGACCAACCTGGGGGCGGAGAACTGCGCCACGCTGCTCTACTTCGTCCTGATGGAGAGCAAGATCCTACTGCACTCGCTGCGGCCCGACGTGCTAACAGGGGTGGCTGAAGCTGTGGCGGCGGTGAGTCTGTTGCCCCCTGCTGGTACACGTGTGGCACTGCCGGCGGCTGTTCTGACCTCTTGGCGAGACAAGCCTGGCAGGGTACCCCGATTCCCTGCACCTGGACCCCTGGTGGTTTTTCAGCGAATGATTTTTCTCCTAAAACTCAAAGCCAAATCACTCTCCGATTCATGACTGACATCAGACCATAAGCAGCTAAAGTACAACGAAATCAGACTCGTTAATCTGCCCTAATAGAAAATAATAACCCCCTTCTTCTGTTATAAAGAGGTCTGCAGTCAAGCTTATTTACATGCGGGTTACAGGCGGGCTCGTGCCTGGGTTACAGGTGTGGTCCCACCTCCGTTTCAGGTGGGAACTGATATGGGAAATGCACAGAAGGTGCTGACAAATGGCCACGCCTGTCACATGTTTCTGTCACATGACAAGGGCACCGTTGCCGTGACAACCAGCCGTCTGCTCTGCTTGTTTTCAGATGATCTTCCCCTTCCAGTGGCAGTGCCCCTACATCCCCTTGTGCCCCCTCTCCCTGGCAGGGGTTCTGAATGCCCCCGTCCCCTTCATCTGTGGGGTGGACTCCCGCTACTTTGATCTGTATGACCCCCCAGCTGACGTTGTCTGCGTGGATTTGGACACGAACACCATCTACCTGTGAGGACCCCTTCATCTGTGAGGCCGCTGAGGTGCTCTGTGGGAGTCACTGGCCTGCAGAGCGCCGTCATGTGCCTCTCTGTGCCCGCAGGTCTGAAGATAAGAAGCACTGCAGCTGGAAGAACTTCCCAAAGAAACCCTGCAAGAGCCTAATGAGCTCCCTGAGTAACCTGCGCCCCCTGTTGGCCACAGGTACTGCCACACTCTGCCCACTGACCTGCGCCCCCCCATTGGCATTTGTCTGATGGTGAAGGTGTTTCATGAGACTGGGGATGCAGTCAACAGGAACCAGGAGGGCCTGGCTGTGGAGATGACCCCCATGGAGGCGGACTTCACCTGGCAGAAGAAGAAGACCGGCCTGGAGATGGAGGTGCAGGAAGCCTTTCTACGCTTCATGGCCTCCATCCTGAGGGACTATCGCTCTTACCTCAAGCCCATCACCCAGGCCCCCTCAGAGAAGGCCACCGCCATAGAGTCCCTCTACGACCGGCAAGGTACTGGATGCCATCGTCGCTGTTCGAAGTACTTAGCAGTACTTACTGCTTGTAAATACTCCACAGACATAGAACATGCGGCGTTTTATGTTTATTCAAAAGGTGGTTTCATCCAAAGCGACGTACAAGTGAGTCAAATGCCGCATTACATGGATTCAGCTATCAAGGAATGATCTGAATAAAGCGTGACTAGGCTGAGCGGCACTGGAGACAGAGCTGTAGAGCATGCTTCAAGCAGTGCAAGAACCTAATAAGACAGCTATTCAAAATAAAAAGTCAAGCTGCAACTCGGAGAACATTCAGGGAACATAGAGTAACATAGCAAATGGTGAAGGACTGCAGTGACAAGGTGACATATTTACTGGAGTGACCTTTGCCCAATCTTCCCAAAGAGAATATTAAACCCTCCTTTCTGTTTCGGTTTGTGCTCGTGCTTGAAGGTGTCATACCGTCATCAGGCCGAATCTTCAAAGGTCGTTTCCCAAGTTAATATTTCATTGGGAAGATTAAAATGACATCACGGCGACCCCATCTGGGGAATCGGCAGGATGGACGACGTGATGAAGTTTCTCCTGGCAACGCTTGGAAAATAACAATCTGTATTGCTGTATCCAAAAAACAATAAACAAAGTGTGTTAATACAATGCGGGGCTTCCACACAGGATGTGAGTGATTGGCAGAGTGCTGGGAGACTTTACTCTTACAGAGGAAGGGAATCCAGCTGTGGAGCTTGTGAGCTTTTGTGGAACATTCTGTGTAAACAGGAGGCTTTGTGCTTCCCCGAGCTGAAACAAAACTGTTAAATAAACAGTTTGACTGATTGGTATTCCTTTAATATCATTTTTGTTTGGTAGTCTTTTTTTGAGGAATGTAATTAACACATTAAATTCTTCTTTTTCCATTTTCCCCAGCTGTAAATTGAGTGGATGCTTTGATAAATTTCCGGCCAGGCAGCTGTTCTATCATTGGAGTTGGGGGTAGGACAGGTTATTTGCAATGGGATTGAGTCCCTGTTCCTTTATCCCACACAGGGTTTCTGAAAAGCAGAGACCGCACTCAACAGAAGTTCTACTCCCAGCTGACCAAGACGCAGATCTTCATCCGCTTCATAGAGGAGCGCACCTTTGTCAGTGACAAGGACACCGGCCTGGCGTTTTTCGATGACTGCATTGAAAAGGTGACACACTGGGGCCCTGTTTCAAAGGCCACCTTCGCCTTACCCTGAGTTAAGGCCGTTTTTTGTTTTTTTTTTTACAGTAGGTTGCTGTTTTGTGTGTCTCTAAGCCGCTAAGCACTTTATCTGTTCCGATATGCTGATTTCATGTAATTGCATCTCTCTCCAGCTTTTCCCGTCTGATAAAGGATCTGAGAAGGGAGCAAAGGTACAGGCGATTTGGCTTTTCCACTTTTACCTCCTGTTTCAGTCAAGATGTGCATATTAATGCAAATGAGCTGCTAAACACGTCCACTCCTCATTTACCGACCTAATTCGGGCCCAACAACCAGATCGTTAAGCAAAATGGCCACTAAGTGAAAATTTACGGAAGCCTAGTTGTGACTCTGATGGTGCTTCACGCTACAAAGATCACTGGTCGCTGCCGTCTCATTCAGATAATGTACTTGTACAGTTTCACCACCGTTACACTCGCTCTTGCGTGTGTCATTTTCAGACATTATAAAGGTTGGTGGTAAGTCCATCGATTGGTCAGAAATTATTTTTATTCATGTTTGTGAATGGTCACACGAACCGAGGTATTCGGTAAATGAGGAGAGGGTGTGTCCCTTTGAATTTATACGCTACTAACTAGTTTCCCCAAACCCTCATAATAAAAAATCTGTCTCAAACAATTAAGAACTCCATCAGTACCCCAATCTATCCTGGCCCCACCCCCCTCACAATGACCCCGCCCCCTCACAATGACCCCGCCCCCTTACAATGACCCCGCCCCCTCACAATGGCCCCGCCCCTTTTTGCATGAAGGTGGACGCAGAGTGCTGGGAAGACACCCGACTCATCGAGCTGGACGAGTCTCAGAAGAGCGAGCACACGGTGTTCGTCATGCCCCCTGAAGCGCCCGCGGAGGATGGTGCGGACCCCACCACTTTTTACAGGTACCTTGGCAACTATGCTGCCTGGGATGGGGTTCGTAATGAACTTTCACAAAGTGAAATCCAGCCTCACTCATATTCCTGGCTGGCTTTTCTACCTGTTGTGGCAGTAACGGTCAAGGGTGACGCTATCGGTGATCCATTCAGCTCACACATTTAAAACCCCCCCCACATTCAAATCTGTCGCTTTTTTAAGAAATGTATTCCTTTCACGAGCTGACGTCCATCTGCCCACTTCTGTCTGCTGGTTTGATCGTCCATCTGTCCATCTCCGAGGGACGTTTCGCTGTTCACTGAGATGGGGACTGTGAAACAGGGTTGGGTGGCACTCTGCCAGCTTTGCCAACGCGACCTAGCTGGAGGGAGGCCAGCCTGCCCCCCTCCAAACCGCAGCGGTTCGCATGGTATGCAAACGCTGTGCTCCTTCTGACTCCGGGGTATCAGTCTTCTGTTTTTGTCATAGGTGACAGGCGTGTTTTCCTTGGCAATGAAAAGAGTGTAACGGATCCCTTAGGAATCCTGCCTGCTAGGCCGGCAAGTTGCTGCAGTCCTCATTGCTGCCAGACTGAAGGCAAGGGCCTTCTGCTGCTGCTAGATTAATTAGCATTTAGCATTCTTTGTCTGCTCTGCAGACATTATTATTTAAACTAGCCATAACTACCAAGCTGCCTGGGGTTAAATGAAGATCTGACCTATAATCGGTAAATGGCTGATTCACTAATGGGGGGCATGGTGGCGCTCTGGCTGGCACTGTCGCCTCGTACCTACGGGACCAGGGTTTGAATCTCTGCCATGACTCTATGTGTGTGTAGCATCCCGTCTCTTCTTAATAGCAATGCCTAGTGTATTCTTGCACTATGCCACCTCCCTTGGTGTGTGGGATCATGCTCAATGTTGTATCCTGGTCTCTTGGTGAGGATTTTGTTCGCTTGGTTCATGTTCACCGTCCAAACCTGTGTACGTGACTGACCTATATGTCTCTATTTGTATAATTAAGTGACGGCCAAATGAAGCTTTTTGAACCATTTTCTGTATTTTCTGGCCCCGCTAGAGCCAGAACTAGTGCTCTTGGTTTACTTTGGGGCCTTTTTTGAACAGAGAGCTCCATCTAGTGGTTTCAGAAAATACTGCAAATGGTTCATAAAGCTTCCTTTGGCCATGACTAACAAAGGGCGGTAATATGGTTAAGGAGGCCTGCCTCTACATCCTTTTGTCTCTCCATTTACGCTTTCAGGCAGCTGCCCCCATCAGTTGTGTGAAATCTCTCCCACATGTTATTGTAGAAAAATACTACCAGTGAACCCAGGTGTAGCCTGTGGCAGAAGCACGTTATCGCTTTAGAAACAAGTACCATTGAGAACAACTGAAACGAAGGCATTGTATCAAGGCTGACCTTTCTCTATCCTCAGTAACAAGAACTTTACTCACCTGCGGCATGAGCTGTTCGACCGGCCAAAGGAACGACGGCCAGGACCGACAACGAGGGTGACTGAGTCCAGCCTGTCCAACAGCCCCGCCCTGCTGGCCAAGAGGACCAAGCAGGTGAAGCTGAGTCCCTGGTTATATGGTTTTGCAACAGGGATGGCACTAATGTCACTGTTGTACTCCTTCAAGGGTCTGGGGATGTTGGTTTGATTACTCATTTGCTGGCCTTTCTGAATATCGGTTCCTCGGGGTGGGGCACTTTGCAAAGGGGATTCAAGGCACGGACAGGATGCTGTTCCATTGTTCGCTGCGCAGCTGAGGACTGTGCTGCTGTCAGTGGGCCAGTGTTTTTACACCCCCATTGTTCCACGAAGGCAGGGCCATCGCCGGGGGGTGAGATCTATATCACACACGCGTCACATGCACTGCGAACTATGAGGCAGTAATAGAACCAGAAGTGCTGGGGCTTACATCTTAATCTGCCCCGTGTCGCGGGTTAACCACAGAATCTCACGTGCTTTGTAAGGGTCTGGTATTCTGTCTGCACTGTTCTTATTCTTAATAAAATAAAGAAATAAGAAAATTATGTATTTATTCTTTAAGTACACAGAGAGACTTCTATATAAAAGTGTAAAACAATTAATATCGGTGTAAACACATTAGCCTTGAGTGTGTGAAATGCTAGTAGTCTGTGGGTGCCTTATAACCTCTGCTCCGCGTCGCCCCCTACAGGAGATCAAGCTGGCCTATAAGACTGCCCGGCGGTACTGCTCGAATCCGCCGCTGTGGGCACGGTGCCTCTACAGCCACTGTTACAGCCTGTGGTTCATCTGCCTGCCCGCGGGGGTGTGTTCGGCGCAGTCCAAGTTGCACGCCATGCAGCAGGCTCACAGGGTGCTGCTGCGCATGCGGAGTGCCCGGGTCGAGGCCCTGGATGAGGCGAGTGGCTCGGCACCGGACGGGACAGCGAGGAAATGTTGGGTTTTGTCATGACTCTTCTTCATGTCATGAGCAGTGTAGCTCTGGTGTCGGTCCCATTGCGAAGTGTAGTGACTGTTTGTGGCCAGCAGGGGGTCCCTAAACTTTGGGGGGGCTCACACAATTGTGTGAATGGTGGTGAACACTGCCACTGGCCGGTTTGATTCTTAAAGGATAAATTAGTTAACAATAAACCTGATTCTTAGTCGTCTCAGGATGGCCTAGAGACAGCGCAGGACTAGTTCAACAGTGTGCTAATCCAGTATTAATGCCACCCCTCCCCAACAGGTATGCTATCGAGTGATGATGCAGCTCTGCGGGGTCTGGGGGCTGCCGGTGATGGCCGTCCGCGTGCTGATGGAAATGAAGAAGGCGGGGGTGCACCCCAACGCCATCACCTACGGCTACTACAACAAGGTCAGGCTCCGTGCCTGCATTAAATGCACACTAAAGATGAGCGATCCTCCCACCAAGAATTAACCAAGGTTAATGCAGTATGCTGCAGAGGGAATAGGGGCACCTGAGTCAGCACTGGCAGGCTTTTCTCTTTCTCAGGACCCTTTGGTCCACTGACGTTTAACACAGAAACCTTCACCTGCCCCTGATAGCATGTGATCAACAATCTTCTCTTTTTTTAAAAAATAAAATGATTTCTTAAATGAGTAATGAGAGCTTTTATCTACATGCATACATGTTAAAGTTTGTCTGGGATATATTAGATAGTAAGATAACATTCAGCACTTGTGGGGGATGTACTGGGTGCAGAAGAAATTCAGCATTCAGCAGAGGGGGACATATTTTATTTTTGGAGACAACCCCCGGTGCTAATTTGGTCACCTCAGTTTACCAAAAGAAAAAATTGTGATCAGAAAAAAAACATTAAACATTTTTGCTCTGTCATAGGAAACAAAATCACGGCAGGCTTTGCAGTTTTAATAATTGTTCCTTTTTAAGATTATTTAGCGTGTTAAAAAAAATAAAAAAAAGTTGACTGCCGCTGCGTTTGTATGAGCTTCAAAATCAAATCAAAATCATTTTCATGCTGTCAGACTCAAACTGAGTGAAGAGAAGGAAAGCAAACAAGGACTGGTCGCCATAAACATTTTTTTTCCACTTTCTGGAAATATTTTGGATTCCATAGATTCAAATATTGAACAAAAGATGCTGCTCTGTGTCTTTTGACACAATTCGACACCACCCACTTGTTTGGTTTGGTAGAAAATAAGTTATGTTTGGCTGTTGTTTATTTTGGGTGAATTTTCAACTGCTTTTTGACGATATAAATATTGATATACCTATTGCAAAAAATCACGGGCAATATTTGGAAATTTTCCAGTATTGTGCAGCCCTACTTTCTGGATACTGACATGCATCACTTCTTTCAAGATAGTCAGCATTATTTACTTCATATGGGTCATAATGATCTGCATTAATTCATAGGTGTGCGTACATATACTTACTATGTTTAATGTAGTGGTTGTGGTTCAACTGCTTTTAAACTAATATTTTACTTAAAATATCTTGCTTATTGGTTGGATCTTGGTTGATTATTACCCCAATGACGGTGGTTTTTGTCTATTTCTGGCACTGTCTCTTCGATCCCCGTTCCCACCATACCTGCAGGCCGTCCTGGAAAGCCCTTGGCCAAGCCGCAATCAGAGCGGACACTTCATGTGGACAAAAGTACGCAACGTGATCCGGGCCGTGGTGCAGTTCAAGCAGGCACATCACAGGGCAGCCCTTTCAGAGAAGACCCATCCCATTACCACAGGTAAACATAGTGGTTAAGTGACCTTGCAATCTGCCTCTCACTATGCAAAGTAAAATAAGCTAAGAGTTTTGAAATTGATCAGCTAGTGACACCTATTAGTCTAACAAAGGATTAATCAGAATATGACCTCACCATTCCAAGGTGCATTTTCTGTAATTAGAGAATATTTTCCTTTATTGGACGCTGCTGTAGGTGTGATCAGTGCTGACCTTGTCCAGTTAGTGATGGCCAGAGGCTCAGTGACAGGACAGGCAATGGCCTGGGGCCCCAAGCTGGGAGGGGGCTCCCAAGGACGGCCGATTACATAGCACATTGCCATGACAAATCTGCTTTATTTGTGTATTCTGTTTTTTACAAAAATGAAAATAAAGGTCTTGTGTTAATCAAATTCTCTTTGTTGATATTATTAATTTCCACTTTACAGTAAAATAAGGGTAATACATTTGACCATGCCTGGGGAGGGGGAGTTGGAGGACCCCGTGGAGATTTTTGCCTAGGGCCCCCTAGAGTCCCTAGAATTACCTGTGGTGATGGTCGTGGTTCACGACAGGAAGTGATGCGATCACTCTGTGCAGAAAAGAAGACGAGCAGGTCTGTGGGCAGCTGTGAAGACCGAATGAGCCGTGGTAGTGAGGACAGCTCCAGTGATGCCAATAGTGAGGACCACACTCTCTTCGCTCGCAACCTGGTGGTGGGTGATACCACAGACTACCACTGTTCCACAGGTAATGGGCCTGGGGATGATCTTCACAATATTCCTAATGAACCTCCATCATCATCCACACTGATTCTAAGTATGACCAACCTAACCCCTCAAACTAACACGCAGCAACCAACATAACCATTAGCCAAGCCACATGGTTGCAGCCCAACTCATGACAATCTGAATGCAGTGCCATGACCCAGTGTGCAGAACGCTGTCCTTCACCGCGCACAGGTCGGCCTCTCCACCCTGTCCTTCACCAGCATGGTCATGACCCATCCCTCCCCGCCTTTTGTCCGTCACCCACACCCACCCTTATGTTTGCGCAATAACTCTACACTGAAACTTCTGTGCAGGTGGACAGTTGGACCAGGGCTACGGGTCAAAGAATGAGCTCCACCAAGATCCACTTGACTGCCCAGACACAGCAGATCTCTTAATTAGCATGGAGCTGCCCAGCACGATCAAGCAACTAAACCGTGAGAAACCAGTAGAAGATTTATCAATATACAAGTAGCAGATTAATTAAGAAATTATGTTTGGGGCTTAAGTACTATGCAATATACTGTGCTATAATAGAGAATAGAGTACAAAAGAGAATAGATGAAGTATTGAGAGTAGTGACTGCCTAATGAAGGGTCATAAACCATTTTCTGACCCCACTAGATGGTGCTCTTGGCTTGTTTTGAGACATGCTTTGAGCCCTTTTTTGAACAGAGAGCACCATCTAGTGGTATCAGAAAATACAGCAAATGGTTTACGAAGCTTCATTTGGCCATCACTGATTGAGAGTGACTTCAGAGGCTTGGGACCTGTTCCTGGTGGACTTCAGATGCATGACCAGGTTGTATAACTGTTACAACCCTCCAGATGAAGACTCTGTGGGCTCGGTTGACAGCGCGGTGGTCTTCACTGAGCTCCCCAGCCCCACAGACCCACCTTCCCCGGGGCCCAGCATTGTGAAGCAATCCGTGGGAAGTTTTGATGTGACCGGTGAGCGAGACACTACTGGTGAGAGCTTCGGGGAACTCTCTCACTAATGGATGAAGCTAATCCCGATGCCGGCTCAGTAGTTTCAATTTAAGCCAAATTCCAGTCACGACTGGTGGAAGATGATTAGCATTGTTACCCTGGAGCATAAGGATTCAGTCTAAGAATGCATGTAGCTGTTGGTGTTCGATGATGATGATGATGAATATAGAAATGTATTTCAATCTATCAGTGTTATCAGTGTGCTCTTGTTGTTCCACATGTGGTCTGTAGGTATCCCTTCTGGCAAGTTGTTTGCCTTATCAGAGGATGGTGTGATGGAGGATGGGTCTGAGTCCAAGGAGGCGAAATTCCAGCAGCAGCCACAGCAGAAGGCCTTCCCCGAGCATAGCCACAGCTTCAGCACGGGCATTCAGCTAAAGAAGGACAGCCGAGAGATGAACATGGACCAGATAGGCGTCAACCTGGGTGCCGATGCCAAGATCCTGGCAGCTGGGCTCTTGGGGAGCAAGACGCCACCTGCTGGTGGATCCGACAAAGTTAGTGCTTCCTTTTCTACGGAAAGGAACAAGCTGCTGGAAGAGGAAAAGGGAACGGTCCCGGGAAGGGGGGGCTCAGATATTCCTCAAGGCCCAGTGGCAGAGACAAAGAAACTGAGAAAAAATGTGACCAAGGAATGGGATACAATGGGGAAGATGGCCTCTAGCAGAGGAGCAGAGTGGGAGGATGTTGAGGTGGGTGCAGACCCACTCTCCCTATTGGCATCTGCAAGTACTGATAACGCTATTGGCCAGAGTGAGAAGTCTCAAGCCATTCCACTGTTGGTGTCCCGCAACCTAGCAGACGAGATTGAGATGTACATGAACATGAGCAGCTCACTAGGGTCTAAGTCCTCCAGCATGGAGCTCCACAAAGGTGTGCCCAAGAACACAGAGGTGGACGCAATGCACGGGAAGGCGCCGGAGAGAAGGTCCAGTCTACCTGTTGGTCCGGAGAAGCCACCCAGAGCGGCCAGACAGGCTCTGAAGCACACCCAGACAGTCACCCGGTCAAAAGCGTTTGCTGTCCAGTCAAAGAGCTCCACAGTGGACCAGAACCAGAAACCTTCTTCATTGGCAGCACTGGTTCGATTACCTCAAAATGGCTCATTGGGCTTGGTTATCAACTCCATTTCTGGCATCAAGGTAGACCACCTGCTCTCCGGTCCTAAGATCGATGTCTTCAAGTCTGGAATGAAGCAGGCCGCCAATGTGGCCAGCAAGGTGTGGGGGGCAGTCTCCTCTGTCTACGCTTACTCGGATGATGAGGTGAGCTCCTTTCACATGCTGATGGAGGCTTTTTTGGATGCTTTTACTGGATTACTTTTGGGGGATTTAATTTAATTCCAGTAATTTTCATGGTTCCCTTCCCAAAATGGTTCATTAAAAATAGACTTCAAACTATTTTAGCAACCACTAATACCAAGATATTCAAAATCATTTGTTTTGCTGTTTTTATACTGAATATGATGTAATGAAACTTGAACAGTATGTTGCACGCTAGAAAAGTTTTAAATCAGTGTTTCCAAAGCTGGTCCTCAGAGGCCCCTAGACAGGCCATGTTTTTGCTGCCTCCCTGTTTGGAGCTGGGAGGGTCAGGCAGGGAGCTGGAAGGGGAGCAGAAATGTGGACTGTCTGGCTGGTAGCTGGGAGGGAGCAAAAACATGGACTGTCTGGGACTGCATTGGGAAACATTGCTTTAGACTTTACTGTACACCACAGACAGTTTCCTCTGTGTGTAAAACTGGGGGCTATTGTGTGTTGCTCATCTGCTAAACTGAAGTCTTAGTTGATTTAAGGCAATTGAGGATGTGTATTTATTCCAGGAGGAGCATGTAGCAGACAGGGACTGCTTCCCGGCGAAGCTGGAGGATCAGCTTCTTGATGGAGGTGGATATGATGGCACTGCCCTTGGTGTCGTCACACCGGGCCTGGTCTCCAACGGGCTGACACGGAGCTGCAGCAGCCTGGTCAGCAGCAGTAGCAGCGATGCTGGGAAGGCTCCAGCTCAAGCCAGTGAGGGTCTTGAGAACTTGACACAATGTGACTGCAATTTGTTTTTCCCTCATTTTCACTCCTGATTCTTCTGCTCTCTGCAGACATGACCCCGGGGAGGTTCGATAGGGGTCTGGAGGCTGAGCACAGCTCATCTCTTCACGCCAGCTCCTCCAGCATCTACCAGAACTGTGCCTTGGAGGTGAGAATGCTCCCCCCTGAAGTTTAATCACACTTGGCCTTCTTATGACCCGCTTCCCTTCCAAAAAAAAGGCAAAAGAGCCATTGCGTATGTAACCAGTCAAAGGTCACTATATATTGCATTGTGTCTATGCACCTGAATTGAGACGTTGTGCTGTAAAGAATCCTTGTAACGGCCAAATAAATCTTCATGAACCATTTCCTGTATTTTCTGACTCCACTAAATGGTGCTCTTGATGTACTTTGGGGCATAATTTGAACCCTTTTTTGAGCCTAGAGCACCATCTGGTGGTAAGGCCATCACTGGAGAATCCCATAATCCTCCGATTTGAGTTGTACAGTAAGTGCTGTAACCTCACAGGTCCTGATGTCGAGCTGCTCCCAGTGCCGCTCCTGTGAGGCTCTGGTCTACGACGAGGAGATCATGGCCGGCTGGACGGCCGATGACTCCAACCTCAATACCACCTGCCCTTTCTGCAAGAGTGTTTTCCTGCCCTTGCTCTACGTGGAGTTCCGTGATCTGCGGGGGGGCGGGTATGTGCACAGCCACCTGTGAGTGCATCCGCGTGTCCGGGGGTCTGCATTTGCTCACATCTGGTATGCTGTTCCTCCAGCTTCTTTATGAACCCCAGTACTTTGGGTGAGAGTATCCATAGCAACACTGCTCCAGCACCACCAGCGGCGGCACAGAAGAGTGGATCCACAGACCTGATGCACTTTCCCGGTTCTCCTGCAGAAGGTCCCAGAAAGGCCACAGAGGCTCGGGAAAACAAGCAAAAGAGGTGGGCACCTTTTTATCGCAGGAGAGTGTGGTGTGTGATTCAAACAGCAGGGGGTGCTATGTTGATGCAAGAGAGCCAGATACCAGCTTTCATAAATATTTAAGCAATGAATTTAAGAAATTCAATGACATTTATGCTGCAGATTGCTAAGGTAGTATGAGGTAATTTTATAGTTCATAATGGCAACCCATACAGCCCAGATCTGAACTGTATTAGAGTATTAGTGGCTGGATTTTAAGGTCACCAGTTCAAATCCCAGGGTCAGCAGTGTGATTTTGCTGTTGGACCCTTGTACAGGACCCTTAACCCCCAGTTGCTCTAGGGACTGGCTGATTCTGCTTTCTTCAAAAAAATTATTTTGCTTTGGATAAAAGCATCTGTTAAAATAAATAAGACGTAAAAATATTACAGAAACTTATTCTGGATTGTGTCCTTGAGATCTCAGCTTTGTCATAGTGCAATGTTACATAATGTTACATTTATGTTGCTTCCCCCAGTTCGGTGCTGGAACCGGTGCAATCCGACCCGCTGGGACTGATGGGCCGGCGGGCTGTGAGACATACCGGCGTGCTGACCCGCAGTAACAGTGTGGGTGGGCCTCTGCGGAGCCTGGAACTCGCCCAGCGGCCTTCCCATGGTGCCTCCACCTCCAGCCTGCCTAGCAGCCTCGAGGAAGCCTCGGTGAGCCCTGCAGCACACGTTGTATTTCATGGGTTTACCGCGGGCAAAAATGTGTGACTAGAATTCCTCATTCCAGAACTGGTCGAGAAATCACCACCATATGCTTAATACTTGAAATGACCAAAGCTTTCTATAAATAGGGGTGGCCAGTCTTATCCACAAAGGGCCGGTGTGTATGCAGGTTTTTGGGATAACCTTTAGGTCAGCTGTTCAAACCCAGGTGGGGGGACTCCTTCAGTTGCAGCGAAAACCTGCATATACAACGGCCCTTTCTGGATAAGATTGCCCACCCCTGCTAAAAAAACATACATATTATTAATGACAATTAAAATGAAAGTAAGATTGTTGACTTGCAGGACATTGGCTTGGCTGTGTGTTGTCACATTGTTGTACTGTCATGTGAGAATAGAAACCTCTGTCTTTCCAGGATTCCTTGGGGCAAAAGAGGCCCAATCCACAGCCTGTGTCTGTGCCCTACCTCAGTCCTCTGGTGCTGCGCAAGGAGCTGGAGTCCCTGCTGGAGAATGAAGGGGATCAGGTCATCTACACCCACACCTTCCTAAGTCAGCACCCCATCATCTTCTGGAACCTGGTGTGGTACTTCCGTCGGCTGGACCTCCCCAGCTACCTTCCAGGACTCATCCTAACCTCAGAGCACTGCAACAATGGGGTGCAGGTCTGTGATCTCTCTGCCCTCCAGCCCTGTCCTCAGCCTTGGCACACCCAGCTTCACTAGCTAATGAAGCTTCATGAAGCAATTGCTGTATTTTTTGACCCCACTAGATGGTGCTCTTGGCTTGCTTTGAGACATGCTTTGAGACATGCTTTGAGCCCTCTGTTTGAACAGCGAGCACCATCCAGCGGGGTCAGAAAATGCAGCGAGTGATTCATGCAGCTTCATTTGGCCATCGCTACTGGCCTCTTCATCCATGTGCCCTTTCTCAGTATAACCTTTGACCCTGCGCCTTTTGATCCTGAACTCCTGTTTTCTCTTTCCTTGTATTAGTTATTTAGTACGGCTTTGAATAAAGAAGAATTCAGCTGGTTTTAGCAATTTGAGTGTTGATAATTTATTTTTTTCTTGTCCTTTAGCTCCCGTTGACCTCCCTGTCCCAAGACAGCAAGCAGGTGTACGTTCAGCTGCTTTGGGACAATGTGAACCTACACCAGGAACCCAGGGAACCCCTCTACCAGCGCTGGCGAAGCCAGTGTGAGTGTTTTTGTAGTGATGGCAGCTTCGTGAACCATTTGCTGTATTTTCTGGCACCATTAGATGGTGCTCTTTAGTTTATTTTTGAGCATGATTTGAGCCTTTTTTTAAACAGAGTGCACCATCTAGTGGTGCCAGGAAATACAGCAAATGGTTCATGAAGCTTCATTTTGCCGTCACCGGTGTTCTGCTCCGTGTCATACGGTCACCCTTTTAGCTCTGCAGGCTCTCTGCCTACTGGTTGGCTGTCAATAGCTATGCTCTTCAAATGTCCAGTCTGACCCCGTTGCAGTTCCTTAAACCACCACTCGTCACTTGGAAAAGGTGTATTGAGAGAGCAGACTTCAGAAGAAATACGGCAGCCAATAAGCAGCATGTTTCTCACGGAGAAGATCTCACATACCTGTCAAGTGACAATGAAAGACATGGGGGGAGGGGGGAATATATAAAATAATCAAATCTGAATAATTACATATCGTATGCAAGCACCTATAAAAGAGCCCAAATGAAAACATGGTGACAGTTTTGTTTGGCTTTCCAGACACCGTGGTTTCAGTGCTCCTGAACCTCGTTGGTTTGTTTGTTTAACTGTCTTTTCTGCACTATGTGCTACTGCTACTTGGAATATTTGTTGTTTCTTACCCCATTTGATGACCTATTTTTAACCTTTAATTCTTATTCTCAATTTCTACTGCTCTGTTAAATTCCCGTGTTCTATATGCATTTGGTGAATAAACAGATTCTGATTCTAATAGTCTTGATGAAGCACTAATCTGGTGTGTGGACTGGAGCGGCCCAGTATCCCAACAGGGGTGACTGACCTGCCTCTACTGTTGTTCTGCTCCCCAGTGGAGAAGAAAGGCCTCCAGGCTCTCAGTGAAGAGCAGGAGACCAGGACACTGCTGAACAGCATTGTCCGGAGCATCCAGACAAATGATGTATACGGACCAATCAACCTTCTCCTGCGGGAGATCAAGAGGTGTCCCAATGTCAAACGGCAAAGGTCTGTTTCTGTTTTGTTCTGTTTTTTTTTTTGCTCCAGATTGGAAGAGTGAGTGAAACTAAAATCTAACCATGTCTTCTCTGTCTTTTAGGAGTATCTACAGGGAGATCCTTTTCTTATCACTAGTAGCTCTGGGCAGAGAGAACATTGATATTGGTGAGTGCCTGAAAGCTCACGTACAGTATACAATGGTCCAGTACAGTATCCTCGTTTGGGCTGAGTCTGAATGCCCATCTGTGACTTTTCACAACTCGGTGTGTCAGATGTACTCAGAGTGGATATTTCAAGAGCAAACTTTCAAAACTCACTCAGTCGATAGGATACATTTTTGATTAAAATGGACTTGGCGAGTGTTGCAAACTTTATGAAAGTTCTTCCCTGGAATACATGAGGACCGAGTGAGTTTCAGTTTCCAGTGTTATGAAATGTGATGAGGCAGCACACCTTAAGGTCATTGGAGGTCTTGTCTCAAAAACAACAAAAAATAGAATGAGGAAATTTTGCAACTTCATTGGTTTTTAAGAGACATCTGCCTGGGCTTTTGAGACAAAGTATTTTGCCGTTTGGATACAACTTAAAATTGATATTGAGGTACAATTCAAATAGTCCTCTACGGGTTTGTGTGCATGTGAGTCCAGCCATCTCACTCTATAGGTCACAAGTCTGACCTTTCTCATCTGTTCCTGCAGAGGCCTTTGACCGTGAGTACCAGCAAGCCTTTGAAGAGCTGAGTCCAGAGCAGCTGAAGGCTCTGTCACGCATTGACCATCCGCCCCACAGCAGCATACAGTGCTGCCTCAAGTGGTTCGGAGCCCCTGTCATCTGATCTGAAGACCCTGTCAAAGAATCTGTGAATCTCTGATCCAGCCACTTTTATATAGAGGGTGCAGACACCGGAAAAAGGGTAAAGGTTCACCCTCAAGCTTTGAACTTTGAAGGCAAGGAATAGATTTGTATAATTAAATTATAGATTTGTATAATTTAAAATATATTTCATAATGTTTTTTTAAACACATTACATAATGGAGAATTACCCAATGGTACTTTTTAATCACATTGAAAGAACCGCATTTGTTTGACTTCATTTCCATGCAAAATGCTGTGCGACTGTCGTGTTTATTTTTTATTTTCACCTATGATGTTCCGTCATTGCTTGGACCTTCATGGACCTTCATAATCATTGGCTGAGGTTGCAAACTGAAACTTGAAAGAGAAAATAGGCGACCGGTGACAGCTCCCAGAGGTCTGTGAACTACTTAGGGGAAATCTATGCTCATTTCTATCCCGGATACCAAGGAGAGAAAATCAAACTATGTACATAGATGTACTGTTAGAAAGGCTGCTTTTTAGATTTTTTTAAATGGAAATCTGAACTAGGATTGCCTGAGCAATGCCTTATTCTGTTCCTTACACTGAGCATTTTTTTACACTTACATAAGTGTTGTAAATATTTTAAACTGCATGTAAATATGATAGTGGTCTTACAGCAACCAATAAGCTATGGCACACATGCTATAGACAATCAAGAATTTCATTGCCAGACATTCCAAACCCCTGACCCAGCAGCCTGTCTTAAAAGGAAAAGTATCTATGAAATGTAAAGGGGTAAATTCAACCATGTGTGTTGATTATTATTTTTTTTTTTTACTCTGTAATGGCTTAAACCTGATTTACCATTTTCATCATTCAGGATGTTGTTTTGTAATCTTTTTCATGCATTTTGGGTGGGGGGAGGTGGAGGATTCACATCATGAATCCATGAATCCGAGACAGTGACTAATTGAGCATAGAAGGCAACATCAAGCCAGCCTGTGAAATCCTGCAAATGGACGTCATGGATCCTTTAACGGTTGGATCCTTGCACTATTTTTGTAGACAGTCTAACTCTCAGGCCGCAGTGATGGCACACAGGTATATATTCATGCTCCAAAAAACATACCTCAGAAGGTGCTTGAAAATACACCTTAATCTTCATCCTGTCTCTGGGCAGTTTTGCACGTCATCATCTAAGACGGTTGTAGAGTAAAGATGGGAGCACCTGGACTGATAGTACCTGGGTAACCCATCCATCCAGGGATGGAGGAAAATGCACATCTGCTGTCTTTTCCACAGCCTGAATGCCTCTCCTAGTCATACAGCTGTGTGTCTGATTACCAGTTTCCATGTCACGCTACTAGGAACAGTTAGTTGACCCTTAGGAGACTTAAATGCTTCCTTTATAAGGTTTTCTAGGTTATGCTTTGTGAAAGCTAACCAATATGGACTCTTATTCTCTACTCAGACACGCTAGCTACTACCATCAATAATGTAACTTGTCTCCATTGTACCAAGTTGGCTAACTGACACCTGCAAGTTTATATTAGGGTATTGTCTATGAATGATTTATAATCCATAGTGATGTTTATTATTTAAGACATTTAGAGAAAAACATTGCACAGCCTCTTGTACAAATGCACGGAAAGAAACCTTGTACACATCTATAAAATGAGACTACTTTTCAACAAGTTACTGGAAGTCTTAAAATAATTCAATAAAATGCTATGCCTTTCTACAGCAAGTTGTTACGAGTCATTCATTGATGCATCTTAGAACTGATTTTTCTGAAGCGAAGCAGTGTCAGCGATGTATCATACTGTTTTGAGTTAAATGGGAAACGATAACCAGTGTAAAAGTAGTTTAATTTTAAATGGCATCAAACACTTCAATACCCCAGGCAATACTTATGTACTTCCATGTCAGTTTGTTCAGGAAGGTAAGCAACTAGATCCTGGAGATCAGGTATGATCCAGTAGCCTGAAACACTGTTACATTAAGATGATGATTTCAAGCAGACAATCTGAGTGGAGCTGGTAGGATCTAATCTACAGTCTGGATATTTATAGATTTGCACTGTAATATGCATTATTTCAGCTGACATTGAAAACACACCCAACTTTTTGAAATGTGCAAAATACCAACTGAGGCTTTATATCGTTATATTTACAGTTAATTTGTTCAAGAACAGTGGGAATTCATAAATTAGTGTTCCAGTGAGATCCACCATCCTCAGTACAGCTGATCGAATCTCATCCACAGGGTACCCCCAGTTCTGGCAAAATAAATTTCCATGACTTTTCCAAAACCCACAAGTTTGCTTTGATGATCATGCAGTTTCAGATAGTCATTGTCCTGCCCTGATCGTCCACTCCTTCCAGCAGTGTGCCACGCCCCCTCATTAACCTCGTGTGGAATCCCAGTGTGATCAGCTGTTTCTGGTTGTTGTCATTAGTCCTCTGTATTTAGTCCGCGTTTCAGTTTGTTTCCCCAGTCCGGTCATTGTAATGTCACTGCGTGTTTTCTTGCCTGCCCTTTTTATTAAACCCCGTGTTCCCCGATTTCCTGACTGCCGCTCCGCGTCCCGCATACGGCACGATAGTAATACTACAATTTTCGGTACGATAATAGCCAATCTGCTTACCAAATAAACACAGAAGGTGGACAACTTTCGCCAATGTGCAAATAGCGTTCAATTATTAAGAAAATTAATCCCAATATTAAAATTATACGTACACCTTATGATTGGTAGAGGCAAACTGAGTCAAAAACGGGAAACTGACCAATAAAATTCAAATACGTGCAAAAAAATAAACCATAAAAACTGGAATAACGAGCAAAAAAGCAGCGATCTCAAATACACAAAATCTGCATGGAAACGGATGTTTACCAAGGTAGTTAACTATTGACTTCCACTCGTACATTTCTGTTAGCGCGTTGTGGAATGAAGCGGGGGAAAAAATGAACAAGGCTAGTTTCCAAAACTTTTCCATAACTTTTTCTCTATCCAAAAATTCCAAAACTTATCAAGGGCTTGGAAAAATTAAAAAAATTCTAAAACTTTTCTAGGTTTTCCATGACCGCGGATACCCTGCATCCATTTGCCAAACTGAAGACAGGATCCCAGTACTCCCAATAAACCACCAACACAGCATGCATTTCTGCAAACACCTTTTAATCGTTCTCCATCATAGTCAACTTTACTTCTGGCTGGACTCGGACTTGGACGTGGACGCCCTGAGAGAGGACAGGCGGCGTCTCTTGGCGATCTGTTCCTGACGCTTCTCCTTGGCTTCCTGCAGGTAGGACATGAGCGTTAGCGTGGAACCGTCATAACACCGGCCACATTTACACACAGGCAGCTCATACCTTTAACAGAACCAATGATTAGGATTCCAATAATGGCACTTTCACACAAAAATGAAAAATCAAGATACAGACCATGAATATATTTCACAGAAAAAGACACTAGCAGGTCCTAGACACATACACGTTCTGTCCTGCTACACAGTGATGCCAACCAGGTGTCCTGTGACTGGGAGACCCTCTCAGAGTCCCACAGTACCAGGAATCTTCCAGCAGAGGTAAGCACTGCAGGCCAGTACATGCATATCACATCAAATTCAAGGATGTTCTGTACTACCACTCCATCCATAAGGTCACATAGTGTTACTGAAGCATTAGGTAACATTCCAGTTCAACACCACTTCAGTATCATTACAGTACTGTCTCATTTCTAACAGCTGTGGGCACTGGGCACAAACCTCAGGCTTCCCTTGTGGAAAATGAGCTGAGAGCCATTCAGACACTCAATTAACACGCCCACACTCCCAATCTCCATAGCTAACTGAAAAGCAAAACAGCAAAAAATAAAATCCAACAGCTTCTTCCACTTTTAAAGCCTTTATAAAAGTAGCAACTGGCTGCACCAAATCCTTTGGAAGCTCACAACGTTCCCATTCAGCTCAATGCACAAAACAAGCTGTCCCAATGCAAAAACCAATCATTGATGAGACTGCCATTTCTACAAGTACAGGCACACAAAGTCTTTGCCATACACATCTCTCTCTTGCGCTCCTACGAGAATGAAGTTTGGGGTCAGAGTGCAAAGTCAGCCTCTCTTTTGGTACTACTGAGCAGGTTTCGGGATTAAGGGTCTTGGCCAAGGGCTCAAAAATGACTCGATAACTCCGCTGACCGCAGGATTCAAACTAGCAACCTTCCGCACACCCTGCCCCGTGAGTGTATACATGCAGTTTAGCATTCGCTTATGGAAAAACACCAATGAAAATGCAGCTGCTGTTGCAGACCCCACCTTGGTCCTCTTGGCCAGCAGCTTGGCGTATTCGGCTGCCTCTTCCTTGTTCTTCAGGGTGCGCTTCCTCTTCATGGCGATGCGCTGGCGCTTGTGCTGCAGCACGCGGGGCGTCACCAGACGCTGGATCTTGGGGGCCTTGGTCCTGGGCTTCTTACCTGGGGACGAGAGCAGACAAGCGCATTGTCAATAGAGCACCAGCACCACGGCCACAATAAAACAGGACTCAATTTCTAGATGTCCCAGACCTTTCGGCTTGGCCTCCTATCCTGAACAGGAGACCCTAGTTGGCTTATGCCTTGTCCAACGATATTTCTATTTAATTAACGGCCAACTCTGAAATAACCAGGACTGTGAATGTCAAATTTACCAATCTGGAGGGATGACTGTGCTCACACCATTTTGAAAATCGACCAAAATCTTCTGCAGATACTTGGCAGCAGCAGAAAGCCTGAGCATCACCTACATTGTTCTATTCACTGTTCATTATTCAGGCTTAAGTCTACCCCGAGTTTGGCGTCCTGCAGACCCGCACAGGTGACGTCTCAACACACACCTTCCTTAGTGAGGGGCCTCCTCACTACATACTTCCTCACGTCGTCCTCCTTGGACAGGTTGAAGAGCTTGCGGATTTTGCTGGCCCTCTTGGGGCCCAGACGGCGGGGCACGGTGCGGTCAGTAAGCCCAGGGATGTCCTTCTCACCTGGAACGTGCACACATGGCCTTTACATCGTACCATGAAGACGCAAGTGAAATGATCCATTACTTCCCATTAGCACCAGTACAGATACACTGGATTGCTTCTCTTGGATTCCTACCCCATGTTGCTCTCTGTGAGACACACAGGCAGGTGAGAGGAAGCTTAGGGGTCACAGTTCAGGGTCACCCAGCACCTCTGGGGGTTAAGGGCCTTTCTCAAGTGCCCACAGACCTGCAACTACTCTGCCAAGGTCCAGGCAGGCAACCTTCCGATCAGGCACACAGGCTCAGCCCACTGAGCCCCTCACCGGAGGCTGATACAGGAAGCAACCTGCCCATCACACAGCTCCAGCAGAGCCAGTGCATACAACAGATCATATACATATACAGTATAGAAAATATAATATATACGCATGTTTTACAAGTTTGCATATACAGTGGTACCTCGGTTCTCGAACTCACTAGAACTCGAATTTCTTGAAAGTCGAACAAACCAGTTTGACCTAGAACTCGATCTGAATATCAGAAGTCGAACCGTGAACGCTGACCTAATATAAAATTGTACGCGCCAGGAAATGAGTCATACTACAATGCAATTCTTACCTGAATGCCTTCTTCACAGACTGGGACCATTAACCAAATAAAGCAGCGCAACATTACAGTAACTAACAATAAATAAACCACTAACTTACATGTTCTATTAGAGAATTTATGTCATTTATTTAAACTTTATTTTACCAGGTAAATTAAATGAAAACCAGTTCTCACTGCTTTACGTGATATTCGGGAGAAATAGCAGATTACGCATTGGAACTGCCTGGGATACAAACGTCATGCATGTAACTAAACTCTTCAGCCAATAAGGGCAAAGGTGTGTCGTCACGGAGGCGGTTGCAGTTTGTGCAGCCAGGTGAGAGGTCGCAATGCATCTAACCGTAATGCATTGCGTCAGGATCATAATGCTTTGCTTTAAGCCAGCGCTGTAAGCAAGTCGAACGCATCCAATGACCGGACTGGGTAAACAAACTGAAACGTGGACTTAATAGAGGACTAATGACAACAACCAGAAACAGCTGATCACATGGGGATCCCACACGAGGTTAACGAGGGGGTGTGGCACTCGGAAGGAGCGGATGATCGGGGCAAGACAGGGGTAATGTTGGGATAAGATCTTTATCGCTTTGGAAGCCATTAAGAAAAAAATGCTCTTCTTGTTTTATCCTGTTCATTTTGTGTTTAAATGCTAAAAAAAAAAAAACAAATTTAGGTGTAATTTTTTGGGGCCGGGAACCAATTAATTGGTTTTCCATTATTTCTTATGGGAAAAAAATCGATCAGAACTCGAACTTTTTAGGATTCGATCCGAGAACCGAGGTAGCACTGTACTTGTATTTCATTTTGAAGCTTTAAGAATGACAAAGGTAAACATTTTAGTGAAAGTTAAGCAAAAGCATATTGAAAAAGATCTCAAATATCGGTTCCCTCTATACCGGTAGTTCTCAATCCTGTTCCTGGCGCTGCCCCCTCTACCCCCGCCAGAATGTTTTCATTCCAACCCACACTGCTTTCAACCTGTCACATTCATTATTAGTCTATTAAAAGGCCAGAACTAAGGCTGATTAAAGTAGGGTTGGAATGAAAACATTCCGGCAAGAGGGGAATTGTGTGCCAGGAAGAGGATTGAGAACCACCGCTCTAGTCCAAAGTTCCTCAACCCAAATCTTGGAGACCCCCAGACAGTCTCCCTCCCTCTCAGCTCCCAAAACACCTGTATCAGATATTCGGTGTTCTTCATTGGCTAGGAGCTGGGAGGGAACAATAACGTGGAGAGTCCAGGGGTCCCCGAGAACCGGGCTGTAAAAAACAGCTCTAGAACATCAGAACCCATTTTGGGGGTGGGATACACACCTTTCTTGATAATGACCAAGTTGAGCACGCTGAGGTTGGCATCGACGATGCAGCCGCGCACGGACTTGCGTTTGCGCTCGCCGGTCCGGCGGGGCCGGTAGCATGAGTGGCCCTTGCTGAGCAGCAGGCGCACCCGGCCGTGCGTCAGCACACCCTGCTTCATGGGGAAGCCCTGCTTGTCATTCCCGCCACTGATGCGAACCACGTAGCCCTTAGAGCCAGAGCAAAGACCAGGTTAGGAAAGCAGAAAGACACAGACAAAGCACTTTACAACCATCCTGCCAGATCTGTTATTAATAACACATTCGTTTAGATCTTAAAGAATTTGTCTGGAGCCTTTTACTACTGTGGGTGTTTTGGTCCATTCTGTCAAGGTACCAGGTGCCAGTCGAACGTCCAGCACGGCAAACTCACCTTCCACTCCTCGCCCAGTGGGTCAGCGGCCACCTCTGCGGCCATGCGCTTCTCATAGAAGATGCGCAGCTTGCGGTCATCGTCCACTTCTATCAACTTCTGGCAGCCGGTGGCCGGGAATGAGATGTTCAGCTGGCACACGACAGAGAGACAGAACTTCTGTTAAAGAAACGCCTTGTATTCCAACAGGCATAAATTCAATCAAATGATGAAATAACTAGCCCTAGGACTTGCATGAGGCACGTTGACGGACAACACAGGCTACCTTTATAATGTCAAACATGCAGGGGAAAGATGGGTCGATACGATTACTAAAACTCAGTAGTAAGTAGGTCAAGGCTAAAATAAAGCATCGCTATTAAATTTAATACGTCACAGCTGTCGCAAAAGGCTTTCACAGACGGCAAGAAAACCTTAAGGTAGAAAATCTACACGGGCCCTCATAGAAAACGGGTATACATAATGGAATGGGGCTTGAACTATGCGTATTAAGTCATTTCGTAAAATAAGTAGCATAATATGGGATAATCTTCTGACTCACAAATGTGGAATATTTAATTTTAAAAATAAGAAGGGCGGGTGTAATTACTTTTAGAAGTCATTTGGAGTGTTATTACAGAGCTCACAACGTGAGTGTACAGCCCTACTACAGGAGGCAGCCATTTTTAACATCCGACTTCTTCGCCGGTGGAGTGCAATCAACATCCATCTGCGTTTATACAATTCCCAACTAACATAATACCTAAGCGACCATGTTGTCAAAACTGTATATTTTGACACTATACGAAAATCGCGACGGTAAACGCAAATGTCCAGTACTAAATGTACATATAAGAAGGCCCTACCTTCATTTTGTGTGATATTCACACACATCTACTGTCCGCCACAGAAAAAGAGCGAACTTCCGGCCCACACGCTCACTTAGCCACGAACAGCTATCGCGATATTTGGTGTTTTTTTTGGGGGGGGGGTTTGACGCTGTAAAGTTACAGTTAATAGATTCCCTGATTTAACTAATTCACTTTGTGTACTGAACTAACACTCTGTCTAAAATATATTACATATAGACATAGATATTCACTCATAAGTAGGCTATGTGCGATAATTTGTCTTATATAGTTGTGGGAAGTATTTGTTCATTGTTTAATTTTTAATGGTGAATGAACGTCATGTCTTTAAAGTGTTACTGAATTATGTACGCGCTCTGCGTGAGCATTTTCACTGAAGCGTAACAGAAAACTTCGTGGAGGATACGTAGTTTCCTGCGTCTTGTTACATACATAACATTTTGTAAAAGCACAAATGGGGGGTAATGTTATACAGGAAACGGTACGAAACATCCCTATTGTTTTCCTAAAACGTCGAGGCAACAGGAATAATGCACTGGAGCGCGGCAATTAACTTTCTGGCAAAACATCCCTTTTCTGAACATTTATTGTTTTTAGAAATGGTCATCCGCATACCAGACTGATGCAGGCAAAGCAATGAGTAATTAGACATAAATTTAATTAAGTGCATTCAGAGTGTTTTGTGAATTAGATCATTTGCCGTCTTAAACTACAGTACACATCATATTTGTATTCAGGCAGGGACATATTTTAAAAGTACTATATTGTTGCAGTACGATTGTCGATAATTTGTGGAAATGGCAATGCTTCTATTGCTAATATTCACAGTATGATTTAAGCAACTCCTAAAACCATATTAGACAATAAGGATCTGTAGTTTTTAGAACAATACTAACAGTATGTTGTATTTAACAGTACCAGCCCTAGAATGACTCAATGTTCAATTACTACGTTTAAAATGTGCATTCAGCAATATCCGACAAACAAGCCCATTACAGTGCTTTTCAGCCTCCTTTGTCTAAACGCAAAGAAATCCCACGTGATCACAATAACACATGCCGTCATCGTGCATATAAATAAGTTGTGCAACAGGACAAGTTGTGAATACTTCAGCTGCCTGTTACGGCGGAGGTGCGCATGCGCGGCTCGCTAGCTTGTGTAGTTGGTGCCGTAGGCTGTGCTTTGAGTGTGTAATGAACGGAGCTGTCGAGTCGCAGTAGTCGTGTAATTTACTGACATTACAGGCTTTCTGATTGTTATGCGAGTGCTCTTAAAATCCAGGTATAACATATAGCTACCATCAAAGCGTTGGTCCGGAGTAGCTGCTGAATGTTTACGTCGAGAGACCTGACATCCTTTTATCGGATCGTCTTTACCACCACCAGTTGGTAATCTTCTTCACTGAAGTCTTCAGCTTTAAGAACTGCACAAAAAAATATGAGCGATCTTGTGTTTTGGAATCAGCTGAAGGCTGGCAGCTCCGAGGTGGACTGGTGTGAAGGCAATTACCTAATTTATCCTGGAATTGCGGAGTTTTACAACACGGTTAGTATATTTACTCTTGCCTTTTGTGATTTACGTCTCGGGTGAAGCCGCAGTTGTATACAAACGTGTTTCTGTGGGTTCAACACTTTTAAAGAATGGGCTGAAATTAATTCAAGAGTTTCCTGACACTGTGATATGTAGCTGTCACTTTGTTGTTTATCCGAATACTCCTAAACCAAATGAGCGTAGTAAATGTCAGTCAAACCAAAAAGTGTATGAAGGAGTAGAGACATTTATTTAGTTGTATCTAGAGAGTAACTGCATGGTCGGTAACGGACAGTGTGTCGCTACGTAGACGGGACACGTGGTGAATATAAACTCTATAAACCCTAGAAGCAACCTGTAGGAAAGATATTGCACGCCAAAGTTAATTGCGCATCCACGGAAGCGTACTTCTTCAATGTCTTCGAGATGGTGGGATCCTTTCTTGCATTTTTGATATTCGCATTACTGAGATACCGTATGACTAATAACAGACACTTGCGTACATGAAACGTCTTTGCCATTGTTTTATAAGTATGTGTAACATGCTGCAGGATGTGAATCTATTTAGTATTTAAGAATTTATTTGTGAAAATAAGTGTGACGTAAGTTGCCTTTGTTGTTCGAGCCGTGCCGATCGTTGTTAATTTTTCTCGTTTTTTTCATTTCAGATCAGCAACGTACTATTTTTTGTTTTGCCACCTATTCTAATGTGCTTATTTCGCCAGTACGCCACACATTTCAACAGTGGGATTTATCTAATATGGACGCTGCTGGTTGTAGTTGGTAAGTTTTATTTTTGCAGAAACGCGACCATCATATGGCTGCAGTTGTAACCAATGTTCATAAAAATATTGCGCTTCATTTTTCGTCTAGTTCTATTGGTCTGGGTAGCAAGAGTGTTTAAATTCACCCAATATTTACAAAATTTCCAGCTGATCAGTTGGATATCTGGTGTAAAACAATGTCGTATTGTGTAGTGTTTTTTTTAAGCTGATCGCATTTTACTTAAAAGACGGTATCGCAAGAGTTGAATAAACAGAAAAGACTATTAATGAGCGTGCAGAAGAACCAAGTCCTTAGTTGTTCTTGATCAATAGCATCAACGGGTATCACTTGAAGTCTTGCAGTTTGCGCACCATCCAAACAGTTTGTGATTAGATTATCTGGCAATTGACTGACCTCCGCAAACATGTTAAGGCATGTACCGTTGAAGCCTGACATGTATGCTGTTCAATCGAATGATGTTTCTTTGTACTTGTCCTTATCACTGTCAGTTGCAATCATTGTTGATATAATTGATTTGCATTTAAAATGCGCCTTTCCGCCCTATTAGAACAAGCAGGATGTCTAATTATGGTCTCAGATCTCACTGTCATGCAACCAAACTCACTATGTAATCTTGGCTCGTTGCATCAGTACAGATACTACATTTAACAAAAATAAAGGAAGTGGAAAGTGCAGCAATCAGCAATCTTCTGTAAAGGCAGAAGTCAGTTTCACAGATCATGTTCAGAATGTAAGAGGGCTATTTGCATTGTTTAATATCAATTCAAACATTTATTGAAATTAAAGTTGCTGAGCCTGTCCTTTTAGGCGGAATCAAGTACAATGATTTAGCCGTTACATTTTGTGTGAATATTAATGTTCTCAATGTTTTGTAGTATGTGACCAGGGTCGTTTCAAGTTTCAGGAAAAACTGACTTTGCATTAATGTAGAATCTGCAGCACTCTAGTGTGGTGGATCTTCCTGAAAATGCTGTTACAACATCTGGATGTTGCGTGGACAGCACCGGCTCAATCTTGGCACCATCCTGACACCCTGGAATGCACATGCTATCAGTCATTAAAAGCCCCCCCCCCCACTAATTTGTCTGCACCTGGCTATAGCTTCTAGAAATAATTTTATGACAATTTCTGTGGCCTTCTAAGTGGTTCCTGCATTCAACACAATAAATTCAGGCCCCAGAATGATAAGCATTTTACAAAACCATGGGTTTAATGATGGTTTTTGTTTATCGCTCTGTGCTCTGAGAGCCTAGCAGTGCCCAGTCAGATAAATTTAACTTCACTCTTTTGTCGTATTTTAATGCTCATGCCTTCCAGTCAGTTAATAACTCTATTGTGTTGCTACCACAAGACTAGACTTAGCCCTGCAATCTAAATTAGTTCTCAGGGTTGCTGTGGTGCTTTTGACCTTGCTCTGTGTTGGTAATCCAGAATGATACGGTGTCTATTTTGGGGCCTCATGCAGCTCTGTTCCCCCTTCTGACTCAGGTATTGGCTCCACGTACTTCCACGCCACCCTCAGCTTCCTGGGCCAGATGCTGGATGAGCTGGCCATTTTGTGGGTCCTGATGTGTGCCATTGGCATGTGGTTCCCCAAGAGATACTTGCCCAAGGTCTTCCGGCGAGACAGGCAAGGACATCGAGAGCCCAGGCAGTGTACACACACAGCAGCACACCAGGAAAAGGCATTGGTACTCTTTCTGAGCTTAGAAGGTTCTTGGTAGCAGTCTTTTAAAGTGTGACCTCGTCCCATTTAAGCGCTGGAACTACAGACCTGTCACGTGCAGACCCATGTCAGATTGCCAAGTCACGGGCATGAATTAGCCTCACTGCGTGCTTATTAACAAACCGGCACGTATATCTGGTCACGATCGGCCGGTGTACTGGAAGGTGACATTTCTGACAGACTTTTTGCTGCTCTTTTGTTAGCCATTAACAATTAATGTAAAGTGCTAACTTGTTTAACAGTGATTAATGAATGGCATATAAACAGTGTTTAATGAATGGCATATATTAAGTATTAACAATATGTTCTTATGTTCTTAAGCCGAATGTTTTCTTTACAGAAGTTAGCGTGTCAGTTAAATCATTCAAGAATTGTTTCTAAAAGTCACTATAAGATGCTTTATGATAATTTCACAGAGCAAAAATTCTCCGATTTGCAGTAGGGACTAAGTAAAGGTTTTATGAGGTTGGACTATTCACTTGATTTTTTTTTTTAAATGTATTTTGAATCATTCAATAACTGACAAATTTGAAAGCAGAAATATGTGTTGCAGATCCTGCTGAGGTGACCGTGAAGTGGTGGTCTGTTGTTCTAAGTTTTGTGATCCCTTTTGTTGGGCTGTTTTAATTCCATGGAGATTCTGCTCTTTTACTTATTTATTGTCAAGGTTTTTACTATATGGAAGCAACCTCCCCCCCCCCCAAATTTCGGGTGTGTAGCTCAGTGGATTAGGGAATTATAGGGATTTCGTCTGCATGGCGCTTAAGCTCCAGTAGCTGTAGGAACACACTGTCCCTGATTTGTCATTGTGGACAAAAGCATCTGATAAATAAATAAATAAATGATGTGATGCCTTGGTCCCGTATTCGTTTTCTCTTCTCCTACTAAAGAATGGCTGCAATGATTCTGTGGTCTATCCCATTCCATACATTGCCTGTGACTGGATTGTTTTGCAACCACTGCAGGTCGAGGTTCAAGATGGTCGTGGCCATCCTCTCGGGGATCACCACAGGCCTGGCCTTCATCAAACCAGCCATTAACTCCTTGTCGCTGAT